GATTGGGGAGGGAGGAAAGAAGTAGTGGGAATAGTGTGGGATGAGAGAGAAAATACTAATAAAAAACGAAGATAGTAATAATAAAAAAAAAATAATAAAAATAATAATAATAATAATAATAATAATAAAAAAAAAAAAAAAAAAAAAAAAAAAAAAAACAACAACAACAACAACAAAAAAAAAAAAAAATAATAATAATAATAATAATAATAATAATAATAATAATAATAATAATAATAATAATAATAATAATAATAATAATAATAATAATAATAAAATAAATAATAAATAATATAAACAAGAGGAGTCATTACCGCACCAAACCCTTACCAACAGATGGGTAATTAACCATAGGGTCCACAGGTAATGAAGCGCTAATTACCTAAGAAATGACACTATTGATAATTTCCTTCTACTCCAGTTTAAAAGAAATACGTAGACAACATGAATATGATTATAACTCTCTCTCTCTCCCCCCCCCCCCCTAACTCCCCCAACCTCCTCCTCCCCTCACTCTCACCACCCTCCTCCTCCTCCTCCCCCTCACTCCCACAACCCCTCCTCCTCCTCCTCCCCCTCCCACAACCTCCTCCTCTTCCTCCTCACTTTACAACCCCCTCCTCCTCCTCCTCTCCTCCTCCTCCTCCTCCTCCTCCTCCTCTCACTCCCACAACCTCCTCCTCCTCCTCCCTCCCTCTTCCTCCTCCCCTCTCCTCTCCCCAACCTCCTCCTCCTCCTCTAACTCTACAACCTCCTCCTCCTCCCCCTCACTCTACAACCTCCTCCTCCCTCCTCTCACCTCCAACCTCCTCCCTCCTCCCCTCACTCTCTCAACCCTCCTCCTCCTCCCCCTCACAACCTCCTCCTCCTCCCCTCACTCTTACAACCTCCTCCTCCTCCTCTCACTCTCACAACCTCCTCCTCCTCCCCTCACTCTCACAACCTCCTCCACGTCCTCCTCACTTTTACAACCCCTCCTCCTCCCTCCTCCCTCCTCCCTCCTCCCTCCCTCCTCCTCCTCCTCTCACTCTCACAACCTCCTCCTCCTCCCTCTCACTCTCACAACCTCCCTCCTCCTCCCTCTCACTCTCACAACCTCCCTCCTCCTCCCTCCTCCTCCTCCTCCAGCTCCCTCTGCCTCACAACTAATTCTTGACTTTTCTCCCTTCTTTCTGACTCTCTTCCCGGCCTCCTTCGTTCTCTCCTCACTCTCCCTCCTCTCACCCTGTTAAATAAGCCCTGGGATCACACTCTTGATGATGTGAAGCCCGTCTAACTTTTCCTATCTTTCTCCTTTACTGCCTCTACCTCTACCACCCCTCTCCCTTCACCTCAGAGCCTCCCTCCTTCACTCTCACACCTACTCCTTTACTCTCAGACACCTCCTTCACTCTCACACCCCTCTCCTTCACCTCACACCCCTCCTTCACTCTCACACCCCTCTCCTTCACTCACACCTACTCCCTTTACCTCAGACACTCTCCTTCACTCACACCCCTCCTTACTCCTCAGAGCCCTCCTTCACCTCACCCCTCCTTCACCTCAACCCCCTCCTTCACCTCACACCTCCTCCTTCCACCTCACAGCCTCTCCACCACCCCCACCTACACCACCACCTCCCACCTCCCCACCACTCCCCACCACCTCCACCTTCACCACCACTCCCAGCCTTCACCACCACTCCCCCACCTCTCCACCACCTCCCAGCCTTCACCACCACTCCCACCTTCCACCACTCTCCTCCCACCTTCACCACCACTCCCCCACCTCTCCCAGCCTTCACCACCACTCTCCCACCTCCTCACCACTCCCCCACCACCTCCCACCTTCACCACCACTCTGCCAGCCTCACCACCACTCTCCACCTTCACCACCACCTCCCAGCCTCCCCCACCAATCTCCCACCTTCACCACCACTCTCCCACCTCTACCCACCACTCCCCCACCTTCCACCACTCTCCCACCTTCTCCACCACTCCTCCCAGCCTTCACCACTCCACTCTCCCACCACACCCCCACCACTCTCCAACCTTCTCCACCACTCTCCCCACCTTTCCACCACTCCCCCACTTCCCTACCACTCTCCCACCTTCACCACCACTCCCACCACCTCCAACCTCTCCACCACTCTCCCACCTTTCCACCATTTCCACCTTCCCTAATTCACTCTCCCACCTTCACCACCACCTCCCACCTTTCCCATCACCTCCCACCTTCTCCACCACTCACCCACCTTCACCACCACCTCCCACCTTCACCACCACCTCCCACCCTTCACCACCACTCCCCACCTTCCCCACCACCCCCACCACTCTCCAACCTTCTCCACCACTCTCCCAGCCTTCACCACCACTCCCCACTTTCCCACCACACCCCCCACCACTCCCACCTTCCACCACTCCTCCCACCACTCCCCCCACCACTCTCCCACCTTCTCCACCCACTCTCCCACCTTCACCACTGCCTCGCACCTCTCCTCCACCACCTCCCACCTTCACCACCACTCTCCCACCTTCTCCACCACTGCCCCACCTTCACCACCACCTCCCACCTTCTCCCACCACTCCCCCACCTTCCCCACCACTCCCACACCTTCTCCACCACTCTCCCACCTTCTCCACCACTCTCCCACCTTCACCACCACTCTCCCACCTTCACCACCACTCTCCCACCTTCACCACCACTCCCACCTTCTCCATCACTCTCCCACACTCTCACCTGCTGTTAAAAAGCCCTGAGGCCACATTTAATGACGTAGAACTTGTCGTCAGCTAACTCAAGGTTTCTTGATTCTGACAGCCACGGAACATACTCTCCTCACTGTCTGTCAGGAGAGAGAGAAATGTTAAATAAATGAGGAAGAACGGAATAACAAGAATAAATTTTGATATACAGAAATGTTGATAAATGAGGGAAGAGAGAGAGAAAGAGTGGGTGGCTGCGAGAAGGACAGACAGACAAAGACAGAAAGAAAGACAACAAGAGAGGGTAGGGTAACAAATGTAAAATATTTCGATTCCTTTTACTACAGATAGAAGGAGAGACAAAGAGATAAGAGGATAATAAAAGGGGGAAGAGAGATAGAAAAGGTAAAGAAGCCAAGGCTGATAAGAGAAGGATATATTCTCCTTGTCCAGCTGTCGGAGGAGAGAGGGGAGAGAGAGAGAGATAAGAGTTGATAAAAGGAAGAAGAATGCAAGTTAAGATAATATGGGAACATATGTAGAAAATAACATCCATTATAGCTACAACAACTATAACCACTACAACAACTATAACCACTACAACAACTATAACCACTACAACAATCTATAACCACTACAACAACTATAACCACTACAACAACTATAACCACTACAACAACTATAACCACTACAACAACTATAACCACTAAACAACAACAACCACTACAACA